TGTCATTGTTATAGTACTGCTGTTAAGAAGGCCACGGTACTGTAACAATATGATTTGTGGACTGCAAGAAGTAGACAAGGTTATTTGAGTATTACTTGTTATTGGATCAATAATGAAATAAAATTAAATAAAATAATATTAGGAAATCAATATTGTGAATATCTATATACAGCTGAAAACATTAAAGAAGCATTGTGTATGATAATTAATGAATAGAAATTAAATAACAAAGTACTAACAATTACAACTGATAATGCCAAATCTATGATTAAAGCAGTTAATCTAATGGCATATAGAAATATTGTTCAAATTTTTTGTATAGCTTATACTTTACAGTTATGTATTAGAAAAGAACTAATACTAACAGAAATATTAATTGCTTATGCTAAAAGATTAATTTTATTTTTTTCTACATCTAAACAAAATCAACGATTAGAAGAAGTTCAAAAAAATACTCTAAAAAGACAAGGAAATAATGTTTTAAAAAATACTTATAGATATTTAAGAACAATTCAAGATGTTGAAACATGTAAGAATTCTTTTTATTTAAGCTAGAAATGTCTATTAAAGCTTAAAAATGTAATTATTATTATTAAAACATCTATAGCTCAAGAGCATGATCCTCAAACACAAAAAGATTTAAGGCATCTTAATAAAATTATGTTAAGTGATGATGAATGGGCTGCTTTAGAAAAACTAATTGAAGTTTTAGGTCTATTTGTAGCAGCTACTGATTTACTTAGTGGAAGTACTTATAGTACTATTAGATTTATTAATCCCATTATTGCTCTTCTTAAAAAACAAACTGAAAATGCATAGTTGGTAGAGATAAATGCTAAAGAACTTATAGATTTAACAAATGAAGATACTGTACTAGATGATATTAGATTTATTAATGATTATGAAGAAGATGAAAATAAAAAACCTAAAAAACGAAGAATTCTTATTAATACTATATGTCTCAAGATTGTAATAATTTAGATATAAAATTTCAAGCAGTATTGCATAGTACATTAGATAAATATTAGAATGTGCCAATAGATAACACAACACTATATACAGCTTATTAGATCTATGATGCAAAAAATTAGATTATATATCTTTAAATATTAGATAACAAGTTATTCAAGATTTTCAACAAATATAATAAACAGAAAGATGCTCAAAATAAATCAAAAATAAAAACAATATCTACTAATATTCATAAAGATAATCATTTTCAAAATATATTATTCAATATGATTTTATCTTGTGATTCAGAATCAGAAATTAATGAATTTTTAAGTTACTAACAATTAACTGAACTTCATTTTAAACAAAATTTATTATTATAGTAGACAAATTATAAAGAGCGATATAAAATACAGTATTATATAAATTTGCTTGCCAGTATCTTGCAATTACAGCAACTTCTATGCCAAGTAAAAGACTATTTTTAGCTGCAGAAATAATCATAAGCCTATGATATACACTTTTCAGACCAAAGTTATTTGGATAGATATTATTTTTAAAGTAAAATCAAGAATATTTAAAATCAATTTGGTTTGGAATTAATATTATAGAATTGTACAATAAATACTATTACAAATAATTAAGTAATTTTTACAATCAAAATTTATATTATCAGAATAATAAATTAAATAAAGATAGCAACAAAAATAAATAGAAAAATTATTATAAAAGAAATTGATAAATTAAAAGGTGTGTAATAAAATTATAAAATAATTAAGAGATATTAATTAACAAAAATTAAATATACACAGAATAATTAATAAAGTAATAAATTATATATGTTGCAAATAAAATCAAAAAACAAATTAGATAAGTTTTAAAAAAATGATATTTTCAGTTTAAAGCTACTTATTAGTTTTATTGTTTTTTATTTTGCAGAATTGAACTTCAAGATCAAAAAGCAACACTTTAAATATATTTGAGATAATTTCAGTAAAACGTAATATATTATTAATAATTTCTATCATATTATAACATATATCTTTATATTTTAATAGTTATTTTTTTATTTATTTTTAGACTCATTGACAACTTTGAATAATCTTCTTTTTGATAAGCAATATAATACAAATAATCAAATTTTTAATAATTTTTTTTCATACTTATGATACACCTTTATATTCTGCAGCTATATTTTTTGTTTATCTTTAGACTTATTGACGATATTACAATATATATTAGTAGGTGATAATCATATATTGTAATTTATTTAGAATAAAGAGCATTCATTTAAGATCTGCTAGTATGAATATAAATGCATAAATATTTATCTGAAATTATGTATTCAATAAAAACCTTGAGATCTTAATAAAGAGAGAATAATGAGATGTCTTGAAGTTATTTACTAATACTCTCTACAAGCTTTTATTATGTATTTATCACCCATTAATCATTAGAGCTAAATTGTGTATGTATGCATATTGCTCTCCCTATCTAGATGGTAGTAATGACTTTAAATATCATTCTTTTGATAAATCAAAATAAAAATTTTTAATCAATTTTTATTATAATTATAGATGCGAAATTTCTATTGTATAACCTTTTTTCGTTATATCATGAATAACTATCTAAATTCTAAATTAGAAAAACACAATCGAGTATTGTTGACTAAAAGATAAATAGTGAGATTTGCTCAATCAAGATCTTAATTACAGATTTCTAATTTTAAGAAAGTATCTTTTTAATTATTAAC